GTTAGTAAATACATGCAGCACTGGAAGGGGTGGGTTAGCTCTCCCTGCTACGCCCAGCTGTAATGCTGCCGGATATAGATAAAACATTAGAAACCATAGGATAGAGTACAACAGCTGGTAGAGTAGAAGTAGGAGAAAGAGAGAGCGAGCAACGGATAAATCTTCAGGAGGTGAGAGCGAAGGTATAGGGTGGAGCGGTTGCATTCCTCGGGGTACTAGCGTCTGCTATGGCAAGACTCTTCGCGGGGTTCCCCTCTTCTTTTTACTGGGGTGCTGGTGGTCTCATGCCCAATTATCCCACACATATCAATACTCCATTTGGTGAGGCTTTTCATCTTCCAATATAATTTGTAGTGTAGTTAATTTTTCGGAATCAAAGGATCCTTCTTCCGGCCAGCCCCCTGAACTGGTCCAACATGGCCAATCTTCCTGACATAAGGTAATTGTGCACTTTCTGGATAAGCCTACTGTACCATCTATCTTTTTTCAATTTTCCAAAACCTCGGCCAAAGGGCATCCCCTTTTTTATGCCGGGTACATTTCCCATAGAAAATTGGTTATGTGTGCCTTACGCTGATGAGGCTGCGCACCCTTAAACCTTGCGTGCGCCTTACACTGATCAGGCTGCACACCCTACCGCGCGGTTGCAACAAGGGAGGGATTCGAGCCCGTCTTATAGAATCTGCTCAAGGAAGTTTAACACTCAGTTCGACCCTAGGTTTCCGAGGAGCAGAGTCTCACGTACGTCTAACAGCAAACTTAATTATTTATTTAAATGACAGTACAGCAAAGTAACAGCTCGAGCTGGGTGCCTCCGGGGAGGGACCCCGAACAAAGAAAATCTGGGTTAATTATACTCCTTACAGTCTTATTTCCCTGCCTGCCAGTGACAGTCTCTTCCAATCTTCTTTACCGAGTCGGTGGTCTCTTTCCTTTTGATTGGTTCGTGTCTACATCCCAGGACAGTTGCTATGTTCCTGTTTCATAGTGCCTTATCTTATCCGAAGGTTAACCGTTACCTCTGTCCATTGTGTGCTGTATCTTTGAGGGCTGGTTCTAGCTGGTTTTGCAATGGCATCCTCAGCAATGTCTCTCGAGCTCATTTACAATTCACTCCTGCGGCCTGCAGGCTTCATCTACTTTAGGCACTAGTGCTAAGCTGGGCTAGAGCTAAATTAACTCCCTTTTCTAACACAATCAAGTGAGTTTCTTTGTAGCTGAGTTAGCTTGTCACTACATAAAGTAGAAGTGCTGCAGATCAGGAAGTATTTACTATGGTAATATTCAGAGGGGAGAAATAACTGCACAATTTTACATCATCCACAAAAAAGTAACTACTAGAGCTTTATATACAGGGACGTATATAAAGCAGGGACGTTGTCAGAGTGTGCAGGGATGCGACAAGGAAGGCTAAGACCCATTTGGAATTAAATCTGGCAAGGGATGTCAAGGACAACAAGAAGGGCTTCTTCAA